ATAAAATTTTTTAATATAATTCTTGACATTTTAATTATTTGAAAGAATTGATAATTTGCAACCCCTTATCATAAAATATATATTTTATATAATTTAAATGTATATGTGAAATGATATTTATACAATAATTATAAAAAGAACATTAATGTCCAGAAAAAGTAAATTTCAAAATAGATGTATAATTTAATGTAATTGATTTAATTTGAAAAAATAAATTTTAATAAAGCCAAAATGCACAAGAAGAACTTAATTGAAACACAATTAAGGTATCACGAACCTAATATGGAGGGTGTTTGATAACTTAAAAAACTCTTTACTTTGAAAACAAAAATTCTTCCCTCACGTTGCTTTAAAAGCAAATTTGTACTTTACCAAGCCCCTTCGTAGACTCAAAGGGCCAAATTGTATTTTACGTCTTGCCAATAGCCCAGTAACATGGTTTTTTTTCCCTTTTTTTAATAGAAACTAGCGGTTGAATATATATATATATATATATATATTTTTTGAACGGAAGAAAATTGGGATAATTGAAGAAGGGAAATGGAGACACATGGAAGTTGAACTTTAAAGATGGGGTAAAGTAACCAACAACGAGGGTTGGATAAAGTGGTAAGCGACTTGTTTCAGTTTAAATAAGATCTTGAGTTTAAGATCTTGTGTATGTAGCAGCCCCGTTGGGAGACTCACCCACCATTTCCAGGTGCGCGATGTAGGTCGAGTTCGGATTAGTCAAAGCGAAACCCACATACCGAGCAAAAAACCAAAAAAAAAAAAGAAAAAAGATGAGGTAAAGTATCCGTACAATAATCACATAAATTACGTATAGTGATTTAATTAATAGTTAAAATTAAACTTTTAATTAAAAGTACAAAAAGTTTTATTATTGAATCACAAAATTTAATTTAAAAATATAAATAATTTTATAACTAATCCAATAACATGGGAATCCTACTACATGATTCATATGATCATTGTATTAAATTTTCATTTATATCACTAGAGTTTAAATCCTTTATTTCT